GGGGGGGAGGGTTGGGGGTGGGACAAGACCTGTAAGTGTTCAGACAAGAGAGAAAATCAGGCTGTGCTGTGTGGCAGAGCTGGGTAAATAATAGCACTGGATGGAAAGAAATGCATATCCTTTGGCAGGTAGAAGCGCTTCCATATAGATGTTCCTTCTGTGTGTTTAGCTGCTGGCTTAGAAGTTGCAACATCTTCTCCCTCCATTGTAATGCAAGCAGGCACCGCCTACATGAGTGACAACTCTGCTCGGAATTCAGGAGCAGTGCAGCATCGTTGTCACCCCATCACAGGTGGGCTTCGCTGGCAGGATTCATGGGTGGGACTTTGAAGGGAGACTCGGGGCACTTAGGATTCACGTGCTTTGATGGGAGGCCGTAGCTCTGTGAGAAGATGAAGGATGGAAAGCTGCACGATGCGGCACTTTAGAATGTGGTCATGGAATGTGTGTGGGTGTGAAAAGTGATTTTTAAGTTTCACATTTCAAGTAACCAAACTGGGGCGACGATGACGTGGCTTCCAACGCGCTTCATGCTGCAGCTTGCATGAAGATTGCTGATGAGGTACAAGCTCATGGTCACATGGTGCACGGGAGGTCACATGATCAGAGGGACTTTAGGCAGGAAGGCTTGTTTTTTTTTATTGCAGAAGCTCATTCACCCGGCCAAAGTGCAGATGCATTCACCCAGCCAATGTGCAGATACATTCACCCGGCCAAAGTGCAGATACATTCACCCGGCCAAAGTGCAGATACATTCACCCAGCCAATGTGCAGATACATTCGCCCGGCCAAACTGCAGATACATTCACCCGGCAAAACTGCAGATACATTCACCCGGCCAAACTGCAGATACATTCACCCGGCCAAACTGCAGATACATTCACCCAGCAAACCTGCAGATACATTCACCGAGCCAATCTGCAGATACATTCACCCAGCAAACCTGCAGATACATTCACCGAGCCAATCTGCAGATACATTCACCCAGCAAACCTGCAGATACATTCACCCGGATAAGAACAAAGGAAAAAACGAATGTGGTTTGTCTTCTGCTGGAATGTTCTTCATACAGAGCAGAGTGAATGGGGGAAGATACCTCATTGTGGCCACTAGATGGCGCTGAGGATCTCAGGAGATACAATGTTACAATTCTAGAGACGTCTGGAGGGAATGATCATATAAATGTCCCCATCGCCCCTCCCCCTCCCCTGTAGTATCACGTGTTACATTTATATGATCATTCCCTCCGGAGGTCTCCAGAATTGTAACATTGTATCATGTGACCAATATTAAGGTGTCAGCAGGGGGGAGGGGCGTCATATTCAGCCTCAGACAGAGGAGAGTGTTAGAGAAGGTCAGTGGGAGGTCTGATCACTGGGAGGAGAGTGTTAGAGAATGTCAGTGGGAGGTCTGATCACTGGGAGGAGAGTGTTAGAGGATGTTGATGATTGTTATTGATTTGCTGATGTCTCCTCGCAGGTACCTCCAGCAGGTCCACACGTACCGCGTGTTGCCTGATGACAAGGGACTGCTCTCCGTTCAGGTGCGCACATATCACTGGGTCTCATTCATGGCAAATACTTAGGACACGTAACTCACCATGAACACGTATGTTACATGACAGGTCCACTTTACACTCCACATCTGCACTCGGCTACACACACATTGTCCTCCGTGGTGCCCCTCCTCCACTCTCTTGTTGTACGTGGTGAGTGATTTGGTTTCCTTTCACAGCCGCATGTCAGAGAGTGTTACAGACTCACCACCCAACCACAGGTGACAACCAGTTCCGGTACCATGACATGTAACATGATCGGGTGGTGTGCTCCACATTCTGTGTACGCCATGAACACGCTACTGGCATGTATCAATCAATAAATCCGATTATTTGTATGTTGAATTATTGTGAGAAAGTGTCAGAGACTGCTCACATCATATACGAGAGTGTCAGTGACTGCTCACATCATACAAGAGTGTCAGAGACTGCTCACATCATTCAAGAGAGTGACAGAGATTGCTCACATCATACAAGAGAGCGTCAGAGACTGCTCACATCATATAAGAGAGTGTCAGAGACTGCTCACATAATTCAAGAGAGTGACAGAGACTGCTCACATCATATAAGAGAGTGTCAAAGACTGTTCAAATCACATAAGAGAGTGTCAGAGACTGCTATGTCATTGTGTTGTACTTTGTTGCAGTCGGTCCACGGGGTCGATGTCAGAAGATTCTTCGGACTCAGTAACCTGATCTCAGCCTACAGACGGCGGGGGAACGGACTCATCTCCGCTCTACATTTCCCTGTCAGTGCCGAGACGGCGTCCCGAGATGTACAATGTGGTGAGAATCAGAGGAATCCAAACCCATTACCTGACCTCTGCAGAGGAACTCAGCTCCATGAAAATATTCCGCCATGGAGGTCACTTCCTGTTATAGGGTGACAACGCTCATCACCTGTTCAGACACTTCCTGTTATAGGGTGACAACGCTCAGTACGACACTTCCTGTTATACTGTGACAACGCTCAGTACCTGTTCAGACACTTCCTGTTATAGGTGACAATGCTCTGTCCTTGTGCAGACACTTCCTGTTATATGGTGACAACACTCTGTCCTTGTTCAGACACTTCCTGTTATAGGGTGACAATGCTCTGTCCTTGTGCAAACACTTCCTGTTATATGGTGACAAAGCTCTGTCCTTGTTCAGACACTTCCTGTTATAGGGTGACAATGCTCTGTCCTTGTTCAGACACTACCTGTTATAGGGTGACAACACTCAGTACCTGTTCAGACACTACCTGTTATAGGGTGACAACGCTCAGTACCTGTTCAGACACTTCCTGTTATAAGGTGACAACGCTCTGTCCGTGTTCAGACACTTCCTGCTATAGGGTGACAATGCTCAGTCCATGTTCAGACCCTTCCTGTTATAGGGGGACAATGCTCTGTCCTTGTGCAGACACTTCCTGTTATAAGGTGACAACGCTCTGTCCGTGTTCAGACACTTCCTGCTATAGGGTGACAACGCTCAGTACCTGTTCAGACACTTCCTGTTATAGGGTGATTGATATTTGTCAGTGACGCCTTCGCTCTGTGTTCCTCTTTCAGATGACGACGTCTACAAATGCTCGTGCTGGAAGGACGTCCCTTTCACAGACCCCAATAGACTCTTAAAGCTAAGGGGTGTGGCTAACACTTCCCACAATGCATTTCTTCAGGAAGGCGGCCCACTGAGCGCAGAACTAGACAGCGAGTGCTCACGATTGGACAGGTCAGTGATATTTTATGATGAGGAAGAACAATGTAACAATATTCATCAATCTTCAAAGTGTCCCCCCCC